ATAAACAGCCTCAGCCATCGCTGGCCTCCAGCTGTTCCTCGGCCCCTCCGGCCCCACGCCCCTCACCCTAGAGGTTCTTTCTCCCTGTGAAGTCTCATTAACTGGAGGCTTGGGGCCAAGACGGGGCCCTAGCAGGCCACCCCTCTCCTTATTAGCACAATCATTTCTGTCCAGCGTGATGGCCTGAGCTCCTTCTGGAAACCTGTCGCCCAAAGGCCCCTCCGAGGCCCTGGAAACACTGCCGTGTGTCCTCAGATTGACCAGGGCCTTTCTCCCTGTCATTAGTGCAAAGTGGCCATGGGGGGACTCCCTAGGTCTTCTCCAGGCCCAAAGAGGCAGCTGCTGGGGGATCAGATACAGGGCTGGTGGGTCTCTAATGTCTTCTTCCTAAAAGCCGGCTCTGGCCTTCTTTCCTAAGATTCCTCGCAGCGTTCACCCACCGTACACTCGGGTTACCCAGAAGGTATTTCTCTGCGTCCACGCATTCTGTTCCCACACACAGCTCGCTCCCTTCCTAAATCCAGTGCAAAACCTGAGCTGGGCAAGAGAAATCTCACAGGGACACTTGGAATGCCCTTTGCAAGTTGGACAGCTGAGTGGAGCCTGGATTTTAGGCTCTTCTCTGTTCGCCCCCACCCCCAACTTCAGTCTGCGAAATCCAAAGTGCTTCCCACTTTCTCCTTCTAGAAACAATTGTGTAGTGGTATGGAGTCAAAGATGTGCGGCCAGGCAGTCCTGGGTTCCAATCCTACTATTGCTACTTACTAGCTGGGTGACAGGGAAATATTTCTGAGCCTCCGTTTCTTTATCTGGAAAATGGGGGCAATGAAAGCAATGCCGACCATGGGGCTTCTGTGAGCATGATGACAGAGAATTCCCACAACACACACAAGGCTCGCTGTTACCGCAAAAACAAAGCACGCGGGTCTGTATGCAGAGTCTGAGGGAGGAGTTTCCTGTCCCGCACATCCAGGGCTGGTGCCTGGGATTCCATGCTTTTCCCTCTCACCCCCGAGCAGCGAAGTCCCCAATCAGCCCAGAAAGTTTGTTTCAGTGGAGAATGGTTTTTCTCTTTCTAAAGAAGACGTGGAGGTAGGAAGTCTCTGAAAGGAGCTCAAGGCCCTGGAAATATCAGGACTTGCCATCCCAGGTCTTCTTGATTCCTTTATTCTATGTGTACATCACGTAAAACTTCTAAAAAATGTACAAAATTTAAAAATTAAATTTCAGAAACATATAAAAGGAGACATGTTGGGATAGAAGTTCCTCCAGCTTTCTTAATCCTTGAACCTTGAGGGGTTCAGCTGTCTGGGCTGGGCAGTGGGCTCCCTTAGGAGGCATTCTTCAGAGGGGAGAGTGGTGTGGCACCCTGAGGGTAGAGGGTCCAAGGCCCCAGGGGGGTCACGTGGATCTGTTTGGAGTGATTTCCTTGGCAGGTTATATTTTGTTAACAGTCTGGCTTTTCTTCAAGGTTTAGCTCAAGTTCCACCCCTCCGTGAAGTCCTCTTTGTTCTGACGGGATCAGAATTCACCTCCCCATCCTTTCACATATTTTTTTTTTCTGGTTTCTCTATCCTAGCTCTTTCCTCTGGCCTGTTTTATATTATCTCTAGCCATTTGGATGCTAGGCCCCACTATTAGCTTTGAAGTCCCCAGAGGACTGACGACCAAGGCTCACACTAATTCTAGAGATCCTGACCTGGAGCCCAGAACATCAGAAGCTCTCCATCAATGCTTGTGATGCATGAGTGAATGAGTGAGTAGCTTTTAGCCCTCCGGGCCTCATCGACAGGCTCTGATAGGTCCTGATTCTTTGAACCTCAGTTTCCCATCAGTCGGGTAGGGGTTGCAATAATAGAAGCATCTGAGAGAGATCAGCTGGGTAGGGCCAGGGTCTCAGCCGCGCCATTCACCCTAACGGCCACCTGATACATTTGGGAAGTGCTAGCTCTCCTTGTGGGACCACAGGTGTCCTCAGACTTCTGGTAAGCTCTCCCGTGCACAGATTTTGCCTTCCTACCATGCCCTACGTGGTTTCTTGATGTCAAGGTCATAAACTTAGCGGGGAGAGCGCATGCTTAGCATGCAGGAGGTCCTGGGTTCAATCCTCAGTCTTGCCTCTAAAAATAAATAAATAAACAGAATTACCTCCTTCCCAAAAAAGGGGTCGTAAACTTAGCTGGCATTAGGCTTGGCCTAACTTTAGGGCCCATCACCCCAGACCCCGAGGAATCAGCCCTCGGCCCCCTGGGGACAGGCATCGGGGCCAGTGCTTGGAGGCCCTTGGGTGCTTTGCAGGAGCGTCCAGCTGTGAGCAAGGCAATCTCTGCAATGTTCACCTCATGCCTGTTACCTCCCACTAGAAGCCCTTCCTCCTTTCTCCTTCACTCTTGCCTGCCTCGTCTCCAAGTCACCCACTGGGTTACATCTGCAGGCGGTGAGGCTGTGATGTAAGAGGAGCTGGTGTGACCGTGGAAGGAGCATCCCTTGCTTTCACTGACCTGCCGTCTCCGGTTTGTCATCTGGTCCTGCTTCCAGCAGGAGCTCGTGGGCTCTGCTGAGTGAAAAGAGGCTCTTTTCATCCTCCCTGTCATTCCTCCCTGGTCCTCCCCGCTCTGTCCCTAAGAGGCCCACTGGAGGAAGGGTCTGGCCAAGGTTCTTCTGTAAGCAGAACACTTCTGTGTGACAGATAACAGGGCCCCACGGGGCCCCATCGATCTCCCCTCAAATGAGACCTTCAGTCCCTTCCTCAGAAAGAAGGCCTCTCCGCCCATTGCACAGTGGGGAGCCAGGCATCTGAAGGTTGGGGACATGCAAGATAATGTCACAAGCGTACCAGGGCCGTCATAGGGCCTTTTCTTTCCTTTCCCTGTCACGGGCAAACACTCCAACCTCCCCAGGGTAGCAGAGACCCAGGGCAGCAGCCGCAGCAGCTGGTAAGATGCTACAGCCCACAGCCAGGACCCTGGCAGCACCCTCTTCCTCTGCCTCTTCTGTATCTGCTCCACAGTCCTCAGCCCCAGTGGAAGCACCTTCAGATTTATATGGTGCTATTTACTGGCCCTCTGCCAATTAGTGACACTTTGAAATTCCCTGACATGACGCTCTGCTGCTCCGACAATAAACAAGTCATTAGCTAGGTCGGAGGGCAGCTTCCAGCTGGATTTGATTCATTGTTTCTGATCCAGCTCAAGAGGCTCATTAAGATGCAGGATCCCCAGCCCCAGGCTCAGGAAACCCCTAAAGCTGGAGGCAGACGGGGCTTTTGCGCATCCAGGTGCCGGGTCACTGTGTCATCTGCTTTCTCCTATGATCCCCAACTGAGGCTCACCTCTGCTGGAGGGGACACTAATCGCCAGTGCAGCCTCCTTCCCCCATTTCGTAAGCCACAGACATGGGACCAAGGCTTCCCAGACAGAGAGCTTGGCAAAGCAGCAGGGCATGGTGAAAGGAGGCTGAGTGGGAAGGAGAGGCTTAGGCACCAGAGGAAAGAGAGGCAGCAGGGAGACAGAAACTCCAGGGGGTGATCTGGGGCAGGGGAAATCTGGGGGACACCTGCGTGTGAGCCTGACTGTTTTATCCAGTTTGTGTTCTTACCTTGCAGCCGCAAGTGCTGTCGGACCTGAAGGGGGCCTTGGAGGTGGCCCAGATCATTCCTCTTCCTGTTTCACAGATGCAGAATCAGATGCCCCAGCCAGATGATGTGACTTTTCCTCAAGTGCCTGAGATCGGACGACAACTAGGTCTCACTCTTGGTCCAAATCTCTACCTGCACTACCTCCTAGGAAAGAAGCGTAGCTTGGAAGAGAGCAGTGAGGTGTCCTGCTCCAGGACCAGTGCTCAGTTATGCAGTTCTCCTCCCGTGTTCGCCTCGCATGCCTCTGGCTTACGGGGTTCTGCATAGATGGAGGGGTCATGTGTAGGTGCCTCGGGGTTTTGTCTGTTTGGGTGAATAAGTAAGGAGGCTTGTGGCAGAGCACTGTGCTAGGCATTACAGGGATGAACTAGGCAGGCTTCTCAAGGACTGGCTTTGTTTGCAAAAACTCGTGACCTAGAATGCTGAGCACAATGACAGAGTTACCAGTCGGTAAACATAGAGCTTAAAATCTGAATGGTGACTTCCACAAGCTGGTGCCATGGGGGATACTAGATTAGATGCAGCCCTAGGTGTTAGGGACTATGGTTTTGATGCCAGCATGGGGGCAGATGACTTGATCTCTGGTTTATAAGAGGCAGGCAGAAATCGACACCTCTGCAAAAGCTCGCACACTGTGAGGGATGCATCCACAGAGGAGTCAGGGCTAGAGACTCGTATCCCTCACAGCCTCAGGACAGTGAGAGCTAAGCTTGTGCTGCCTGGCGCTCTGAACAGAAAAAAGTCTCCAGTGAGAAAAAGAAGCTCCAGGCCCAAACCATATGTGGCTGGAGTGTCTGGATTTCCACAGTTGGAATTCCCAAGCTGAGAAATTAATGTAAAAATAGGTTCCAGACCAGCAAAACTCATGGGATATCAAGAGGAGGAAGTGCAAGACTGTTCTGGAAGAATGTGCCCCAGAGCAACAGCATTCTCACAGCAAAATATAATCCTCTTTGAAGCTGCATCAAGAATTAAAAAAAAATTGCAAATAAACAAATGGGACCT